TATAAATATATTTTTTTGATTCCACAAGATATACTACGGAAGCAGCAGCTTCAGCTGCGTCGCTGATCATGCGACAGACGCGTGCTCCATTGTGACTTTCAGCCATTTGGTTAATTACAAATGGTCATGGTGACACCCGCCGTGGATGCGCACGGCAACAGAATGAACAGAATGCGAAACAGAAGGCAGGGGAGGCAGAGTTCGATCACCTTATCGCCAAGCGGACGAAGTATAAAAGCGCAAAGCGCGCGGAACGCTGAGCTCAGAGAAGCAAACCCGGAGACAGATAGATAGACACAGAGGCATAGACAGCCAACGAGCRAGTCAGTCAGTCAGTGAGATTAGGACAGTTGACTTGACGCAATATCAGCTTAAGTCTCATCAATTCAATTGAGATTCCCCCCACATATAAGCCACACGTGGTACACAGGCCGCTTATCAGCCGCAACCGAGTCTAGCACTTCGCTTGGAGCACATCGGTTGGATCAGTACAGTTGTACAGTCAAAAGTGTTCGGAACAGCAGTCAGTCTACAGCGGGCATCCTGTTGCAGGTCGTCATGGCAGCAAAGAGAATGGATCTAAGTGTGCGCACGTTTCTGGTGCTGAGCGGCTGCTCGAATCCGCTTGGCCAGACGCTTGCCCAGGAGCTGTGCGGCCGCCTGGCACCTGGCTCGATGGCACTTATCCTGGACGAAAATCCCGAGAAATTGGAGGATTTGAGACAGCAGCTGACATCGGAAGCGGTCCTCATCGTCCCTGGCGTTTGGGATGCCCAGCACAGCAATGGCGTGCAGCTGCTGGAGCAGAGCCTGCTGCTGGCCGGAGATGTGCCCTTCCAGCGCACCATCATGGTGCACAACGAGGGCGAGACTGCAACGCATATGCTGCTGGAGCCACAGACGGAGCAGACCTGGCTCCAGTATGTGCAGCATCAACTGTACGCGCCGGTGGCATTGAATCAACGCTGGCTGAACGCCTTCCAATTGAGGGGCATCGAGAAGCTGGCCATCAATGTGACCTCATCGCTGCAGGTGCGCCCGTTGGTCTACAGCACGCTGCTCTGCTCGTGCAAGCGGGCGCGTGACATGTACTTCCGGGCCATGGCCTCGGAGGAGGCGCGCGCCAATGTGCATGTGCTCAGCTATGCGCCCGGCTTGCTCGAGACGCATCGCGCCCATTGCGATGAGAACGGCAACATTCTGAGGCCCGAGGAGCTGATCGAGATGCCGCCAGAGCGAAAATTGCCGCGAGTCGAGCCGCTGCAATCCACGCTCAAGCTGATCAACATCCTGGAGAAGACCGCCTTTGTGTCCGGTCATGACGTGGACTACTACGACACCTTCTTCTTATGAGTAGTAATGCAGTCGTGGTCTGTGCATCCAATTGCAATCTCTTATCGCAATTGGCTCGCACGGGCACGAACTGCCACTGACATGCTTTTTAACATGGCGAACGGTGTCGACCTAGATTTTGTCCAACTGAATACGGATTTGAATAAAATATGGCTGCTGATCCTCGTGCTACTAACGGTACAATTTGCGTGCTTCGCAAACGAGACACACGAAGACGAAACACAAAACAAAGCTATTTTTATTTTTAAATGGGATTCTGATAAGGGTATTGATGTGTGCAGCATGTCGTTGGGCTTGATCTTTGGCCGATCTTATAGAGATAATGAATCAAACAGCCAGAATATGATTAGTGATTAGTTTGATGCCAATTTGTCCTTTTTTCGGATCTGTCCAGTTCTTAAGGGCTTCGTTCGGAAAAATATCAAACATCCTCTATCCGGAAATGTGTCCTTTTTTTTCTGAATGCGAATCGTGTTCATACTCTTCCTAAATATGCTTCCTACTAAATATGCTAAATTGTGTACAGATATTTGGGAAAGAACCGTGCCAAAAATTGAATTGTGCAGGTGCTTTGTATGTATTATAGATATTGTTTGTAATTGTATTCAATGCGAATAGAGTGATAAAATGCCCAAGGCTACAGCAGCCAGATTTCAAGTCGTGGATAGCTCGAGATGAAGACGACAACAATAAGGCGTAATGCAGAATTTGCAAATGTAGTATAAATTGCTAGTATATATAAAAAAATGGTTTATCCTGTTTTCTGTCCTTTTTTCCGAAAAAAAAAAATTGACATCACTGACTAAAATCTCTATAATTGTCAAGGGTTTCATATGCAGTAGGCGTGGCAATTTCGTAAAAGTTTTTTCGAGCAAAATAAGGCATTTCCTAAAATCAGCTAATTTCTAGTACATTCACATCGTGTACAAATTCAATTTATATAAAACTGTAGCGCAGCAAGTTTCCAATTTGTCTGAAATCGAAAAAGCACACATAAATTACCAAATGCCGTGGCCAGTGGCCACCCTGTTGCTAGGTATGGCATCCAATTATTTTGTTATCGATACTTTTTGCGTGAAATTCAAGCAAAATCAAGTTTACACGCACACCTACAAAACGTGAATATAAATTCTGTTCAGCAGCCGTCTGATTATTGGAATGTCCCTCCCTCTCTATCTATCCCAGCTCTGCTATACCGGGGGCATGACTCAAATGTTATCTCTGCGCTCGATTAACCATTCACTAAAAAGCGCAAGTCTTCCGAGAGCAACGCAACATTATCGCTGATAAGACCCAATCACAATCGCCGGCTCAGCAACAATGTTGCCATAATGAGCGAGGCAACTGAGCCATGCCGAAATAATTACACTGTCTACGCACACACATACGTATATTTGTACATTCATGCGTTTAAGTAAAGCAATAATTGCAAACATTTTATGTTTGGCAAGCACGAAATCATTAGTAATTGGCTGATATTTAAGTGCATCAATCGTTTATTAGCTTAACTTATATTTTAAGCTTAAAACATTATACCCATTTAATGTAAAACCGAGGAAGAAAACACTCAATACTAAATAATTAAAATTTGTTTTTCAATTATAAAATATGATAATAAAAATAATATAAAATTATAAATTAACTGAATAAAATTAAGAACTAAAAATAAAAAATAAAAAACATTGTAAGCCTATTATTTTTATCAGTGTATTATTATTTTCTAAATCCGTACGATAAGTCCTAAAACTAGCTCAATTTTCTTTTATTACTTTTTTCATTAATTTGTTCAGTGTACTTTCCTTTTCTAATATACATATGTATGTATATGAATGTAGGTATGTATATGTTTGGAGCTTTGAAAAAAACAGTGCTCTACAGACTCTAAATATTCAATTAAAAAAAAAGACAAGCTTTTTATAATCTCTTATTCATTTTTACTCAACATTTCGCAAGATCATTAAGTATGTATTTTAGTTATTTCGACCTTGACAATAATTACACTAGCATTCCGCACTGTACGAGCAGAGAGCTATTGATAAGCGGCTGCTGTTTAAATTCATTTGCAGGTTTATTATGCGATCTTAAGTGCGACAATTAATAAGCAATTATCATTTGAATGCGAGCAGCATGTAGAGCCGATAACCTTTTTATGCCGATGCCAGGCCAAGCGAATCTTAAAGCGGTTAAGCAACTATGCATAGCTATGTCTAAATTGGACAGCGTAAAACTCGTAAACGTAAATATGTACACACATACTTATGTACATGCCGGCATACATATGCCTATACGCAAACATGTGTGTGTAAGCAAGCAAAAGCTCATCAAACTTCCCAAATGCGAAAGTTGGGAACAAAGCACGACAGAAAGAGGCTCTATTTATTATCGATATAGTTATGACACTTGATACACTAGTGTGGCTTAGGCACGAGCATTAAACCAATTAAACTTACAAGTGTCATAACCTATAGAAGACTCAACAGCTGCAGTACACACATACAGCCACACGCACACACATATGGTATATTTTGTTGCTGGTATAAACTGATACAGATACATACACTTTTCAAAGCTTTCGAGGAAGCTGCTTGAAAGCTGCCTTTGGTCGACAGTCACAATAAACCTGCAACCAACTGTTGACGCAGCAGCTCGTGGGTACGGAATAAAACTTGCCTTTCGCCATGAATTTGGAGCAGCGCACATATTTGCTGGTGACTGGCGCCTCGCGTGGCATTGGTCGCGAGATGGCCCAACAGCTGGCGCGCCAATTGAAGGCAGCGGGATCGTTGGTCGTATTGATGGGCCGCAGCGAGTCTCTGCTGCAGGAGGCCAAGTCAACCATACTAGCAGATCGTCCCGAGCTGGCAGTGCACACGTATTTACTGGAGCTGGCCACAGCCGATAGCTCGGATTTTGCGCGCATTCTTGACGAGACGCTGGAGGGCAAAGATTGCAAGGAGTTCGAGCGTGCAATTGTGGTGCACAATGCGGGCACATTGGGAGACACATCGAAGCATGCCCGCGAGATAGGCGACACCAAGGTGCTGGAGCAGTATTATCACATCAATCTATTCTCGGCGCTGGCATTGAATGCTGAATTCATGCGCACCTTTGCGGGTATTCCCAAGCTGGTGGTGAATCTTAGCACATTGGCCGCTCTGGAGCCATTCCCCTCGATGGCATATTATTGCACGGTGAAGGCGGCACGTGAGATGTACTTCCGTGTGCTGGCCCTGGAGGAGTCGGCGGGCAAGACTTTGGTGCTCAACTATGCGCCTGGTGTCATCGACACACAAATGACGCTTCAGGTGCAGACAGAGTCACACGATCCGGGCTTGGCGGCCGCATTCAAGGAACAGCGTGAATCGAAGACGATGCTCACGCCACAGCAAACGGTGCTCAAATTCGTGCAGGTGCTACAGGCAAAGAAATTCAAGTCGGGGGATCATGTGGACTACCGGGACTAGAAATACAAATATCTGATCTAAATATACATACATATATATCTATATTATATACGCCCTGTGGAGACGACGACGACGACGACGACGGCACGGCGAAGAATACATACAATAAATATAAATGAATGTTTAATCTGGTTCTATGAAATTATATTACGCTATGTTAACTAAATACAAATAAAAAGCTCGTTAAAAGAAAATTTGAAACAAACTTGAAGCAATTCAAAAGAAGTCGGCTGCAGCGCTGCGTCTTTTCGCTGGAATTTTGAGTAGATCGTCTGTCAGAGTGGAGCCCGTGTCGATGGGCGTGACAGCACCGGTGGGCGTGCTCTTGGCCGGAGTCTGTTTGCTATTGACCGTCGATGGCATCGTTCGAACCACACTCGGAGCCTTGCGCTTGCGCGTCACGGGCGAAGGCGTCAGCAGTGGAGTGTGAGTGCTGCGTAGTCCCAGTTTGCCTGTGGCCAAGCGTCGGGCGGCTGGTGACATGCTCGCCAAGCGCTCCATGCTGGACCGCACAAACGGCGAGCCGATGTTACGACGTGCTGTGTTGAGAGCCTGTTGCTTCTGGTTGCGCATCTTTTCGCTAACCTTCTCGGCCAGCGCAATGGCAATGTTCTCCCGACGTGAGTTCTCATTGATGTGAAACGAGGGTCCGGGCATGTGGCGTAGCGGTGTATCCCCGCCGTCCAGACGAAAGGGCGTGCCATCGATCTCGCCCCAGGTCATGATTGGCGAGAAGGCTTTGCCGGGTCGCGGCGACGGCGAGCGCAACAGATCAAAGCCTCGAATTCTGGGCGTGTTTGTGCTTGACTCCTCGCTAGTTGGATTTTGATTGGCATTGGCATCCGGAGGGTTCGTTTCTGCTTCCACCTGGATCGTTGTCGGCAGTCTTGTGGCATCGTGTCGTATAGTTGGTTTGCGATCCTGGTGCTTCACATTTTCTTGTTCGGACATTTCGACGCCATCCGGCACATACATGACAGAGTTCTTGTTGGTGTACTTCCAGGTCTCGATTTTGCGCAATGGATCGGGTGTATCGAACTGCTCCTCAATGCCGGGCAGCAGCAGGGCTCGCTGTAGCTGATCCGTGGACAGCTGCTCATGATTGTAAAGAACTGCGTACTTCTGTCGCAGTTTCCTCTCAGCTGTTTCGATGATTTCCTGAAAGCTCTGATTATCCTCGCTGGTGTAGTTGTGCAGAAAGCTGTCCAGCGACATTTTACGCGAAATGGCATCCTGGCAACCACCTTCGGCCGTGCTCTGACTAACACTGCTCTTCTGGCTGCTGGTGGTGGAGTTCGGAGTGTTTGGAAGCGGAGTTGCACCTGCGTTAGCTGTGCTTAACGGCGTCTCAAATGTTGCTGGCGACATTGCTGTTATACAATAAAGTAATTTGTTAAGGATCATCGTCACACAAGCCCGTAGGAGCTTACCATTGTTGCGACTGTTGCGTTTGCTATTTGCGCCGGAGCCACGACCCAAGCTATAACGCGCCCGTATTTCAGCCATTTGCAGGAAGTCACGACGCGACTCTGCATCGAGGTAGTCGTTCTGTGCACGCAGCCGTTCCAGATCGGGGAAAAAGTCACGCTGTATGATCTTGGACATCTCCTCGATGTAGCGCTCCTCCGTTAGGATCTTTGGCTTATGCTTACGTCCGTCCGTACTGCTAGGCAAAGGCATCTTAAATTGCGCTAGTTCACGGTCCTGCACTTTGGCAACTTCCATGGCCCGGCTGCCAGGAGTGCTTGGCGTCTTCGGTGTGTCAGTCATTGTGTGGAACGCCGCCTAAAATATTATTATTAAACGGCGTTAATTAAAAATATAAACACGACTAAATCTGTAAAAAGAAAGGGATGGTATCATAAAATATATCGATTGTTTTTAATGTTGCCAGCAAGCAATACATCGATTGGACACTCTGTCAGGTTTATAATATATATGCATTCAAAATATAGCATAAAATGTAACTTAATAAATTAAATATTTTTTAAATTCAGACCTTTATTTCTTTCATAATTTTTCTTTCTCAATTGAATCATTTCATAATTTGCGACGGAAACTTTCACTTATCGATGTTTTGTTAGCAGAAAACATATGTTTGATGAGCGAGAGCTGCCATACTGCTGCAAAACTATCGCAGTAGCTAATTATATATCGATTGCACTTTAAAATTATATTATGGGCACTCCCTTGTTTGTTCCCTAATTTTCGAAAAAATACGTTATAGTTAACGGTTTCGTAGCTTTCAAAATGTTTGAATTAACTGGAAATATATAACGATCATAGCAACCCAGAAATTATTGCTCAGTATACTCCATACAGTTGAGAGTATGTAACTTGTCAGAGCCTCAAAAATTTTTACTGATTTGGTGAAATAAGTTTTCTTTCTAAAATTTATATTTTTATTTTCTGCTCGTGGACATTTTTATATACATAATCAAGATTTGAAGATATTATCGGCATAGCGACACAATGATCTGCTTTGATGATTTTTTAATAATGTGTTTCTTAATTTCAATTTTCCTTCCGGCTATTTTGATTGTCATCTCGTCACTGTGCCACTTCAAAGGATATATCACACACAAGTGGCTGAAGTATCAATATGATCGTCTAGCAGACAATGCTGCATGCACCATTTGCTTGGAGAACACTAAGGAAGGTGGTTTGAGCGGCGCCTATCGTCTACCATGCAACCACTGGTTCCACAAGGCTTGCCTCCACAGATGGCTGCAGCACAACAATAACTGCCCAAATTGTCGTCAAGTCGTTAACTATTGGAATGGAGAAAGGATTTATCCGGCCTCTCGCATGCGTATCGAATTCGATGACATAGAAGACGACGATCAAGTAGTACTGCGCCCCACAGTCAACCCAAATTTCAATCCACGCACGTGGACACGTATGCGTACCTCTAGAGTGCAGATTTTGTTTTAGAATTATTTTGATGTAAACACAATGTAGACACAACTGCAGCAAGCATAGACATACAGTTTTACACGCGGCCAAAGATTGTGATGTATATTTTTGTTAAATTATAATTTTATTCTAGTATTCAAAATAAACAATTGTTAAACGGTTCGCAAGGCCATAAAAAAAAAAATTGTTTAAAATAATAATGGAAGATTGGTTTTAACAGAACACTTAATATACTCAAATATATTTTGCAATGCAAAGCATTTTGCTGCTATTCAAAGCTAAAGATGGGAAATCGGAATATATACTTTGCTCACTGCAGGCGTGATAAATCGGGAATTATAGCAACATTTACGATATAAACGTTTTTAGTTATATAATTATATATGCTTGTTTGTGCCAGAACTTGCAAAGGAATGAAGACTTACAAATCATTATCTGCCAAGAATGTGGAATTAAGTTGCTGGCACAGCAAGTTGTTCTTTAAGTTTTTTTTAATATAATTTTTTTTTTTTGCTAAAGCCAAAACTTAACCAAAGAGAATAGTGTATTCATTAAAGGTTTCATATGCTTCCTGAACTTACTAAGCTAATAATAATACCATCTCAAAAGCCAATTAAAATAGATTCTTTCTCTTTTTTTTTCTTCTAGCTAAATACACTTAATGGAAAAGTTGATCCTCCACTAAATAAATAAAAAATAAATTTTACAAATTTTAATACTAATTTCGACTTCATTAAGCTGATTTCATGTCAACTGATTTGAGCGAAATTTTTGGACATTTGATGTGCTTATACATCCGGAATATGGTATGAACGTCTAGTAGAAGAAGGTAAAGGCTTATATATTTTCCAATTAGTTTAGCAAATATTGATTACTTCGGTTAATAAGCTAATTAAGTTCAATACAATCATAAAATATTTTCCATATAGAATACGATTAGCGATGGCTTGAAGTTAGTCCATATAGTTTATACCTCTTGATCTCTACCGACTCGCTCTATGTTCATATCTTACCGTAGCTGTAGCTTTAGCTCATCTATATCGTATATCCAATCTGCAGCATCGCCATCTCATCTGCAGCTCATTTGCGTTTCTCTTGGTATCTGCATTATAATTTATATAATGCTTAACTTGTGTTTTCGCTTTTCCCGATCTTTTCACAATAAGAATGGCAATAATTCCATTGAAAATGACTCAATTTTCCAATGGAAAGTGCCATCGACATCAACATGCCATTATCATTATCAAACAAATGCTGCAGCAGACATCGAAGAAGATGCTGTTGCTGCTGTTGTTGCTGCTCCCCTTTTGCAGTTTGCCGGCTTGGCCAACAAATCTGTTAACAGTTGGCAATAATTGTGCAGCAGAAGAAAACATCGTGTCATAATTTCAGTGGCTGCTTTGTCCCTTTTCGGCGGGCAGCATAATGCTATAGATGCTATAGTGTGTAGATGTATAGATGTATGTATGTTTGTATGTATGCCAGCTATTTTTGGGCCTTTGCCTTTTATTGTTGCAGCAGCAGCAGCAGCAGCAGCAGCAGCATCGGCAACGTTGTCATCGATCGCATTAATTTTGGTAAGTGCGTGCGCCGGAGCCGCGCAGGATGGCTGTGCCCGGGGCCGGAGTCGGTACGGGTTGGGGCATTGGGCCCAAGATGCTGGGGAGACAACTTTCAACACGCTGTGGCAAACCGATTTTTATGGCACGACATTTCCGAGCAACAGTTTCTTGAATTACTCGCTCAATTTCCGTTGAATCAACGAGCGACGCTCAAAGCAACTGATAAGTGCAACTGCAACGGCGACTGCAGCGGCGACTGCGACATGCCACGTTAATTGATGGCCTGTTGCAATATTGTGTAATATTAATTAGCCCCCAGCGACAGCCATCAAAGCATCATTTGTTCATACATATTTGCGCACAAGCATTTTGCACTCAATGCACTCCTTTTATTTCATCATTTTCACGGCTCATAAACCCAACGACTACTTTGTTGCCAGTCAGCTTTGTTCTACTCCTCCCATATCCATCTCCATCTCCATCTCCAACTGGCTGCACTTTCCTTTCCCCTACCCATCCTATCCTTTTGCATTTTTTTATTACCGTCGAATTGTCGTCGTCGTCGTCGTCGTCGTCGTCGTCGTCTGTTGGCGGGCACGTGCGTCTGGCATGGCTGTCTGACTGCCTGACTGCCTGCTGTAGGGGCTTCTCATGTGGGCATGCTGCTGCACAGATTTGTTTGTGGGCGTGCCAGCAATATGTCAATATCCACTCGAGAGTCGCGCATGCGTGCGCCCCAAATGCCCGGAAAAGGTGGCCACAAAAAGTGAAGAAGAAAAGGATTGCAGCACTTCACAACTGCTTCAAACTTAAACTAAGCAAAGGCATATGTAAATTTAGATATATGCATAATGCTTAGTTTAAGGGACTAAAACATACCCTGCACAATAGAGCTGATAATCTAATTAAATGATCATTGGCTGCCATCTCAAGTCTGCTTAAAGATTTTGATTTTTTATTTTCAATGATGATTAATGGATTTATTGTGAGCAGGAAACAAATTTCAATTTCATAATATATATCCTTTAAGGTTAATTCAGGTATACAAACCCAAATATTTGGATTTTTAGTCCACAATTTAATAATAATGAAAAACTATAAGTTTTGAGCATATCTAACTGATATGCTCCAGAAAAAATGGATGCTTTCTATAATTTCCGCCCTCAGCTATACCATCATAAGATTTGTATATCAAATCTTAGATATTCTCAGATGAAAATATAGTTTTATGCAAACTTTGACAAAAAACACTTTTCATTATGTGACAAACTCTATCAAAAATTGATATATCTAAAATTTGTATCTAATAATTTTGTATCTCCAAAAAGTGCGTTTCAAGTTTTCCCTTGAATAAATTCAAGTTTATCATTCTTAAAATTAAAAGCATATACAACTTATTTTCAATTAGCATAGTAAATCAATAGTTTTATAACACTAATTTAGTTAATTTCAGTAGAATCAGACTTTTCAGACTTTTCTAAGCTTTGAACTGATTTAGCTGAAAGGCTCCGTATATCTAGTACCGAGCTTGGAATGTCTACATTAGTATATATGTATTTTCTTGAATTTCAAAGTCTAGCACCTTCAAAAATAGGGCTTCGGCTATACCAGATAGAGAATTTTTCGATTTGTCATGCTCCAAGTGGGGCTACCATGAAAGATCAGCAAACTATAGGCGAGCATATATGCACATATGTATACGTTCAGATGGAATGATGGACAGCCAGAGGGACAGACAGTAAGATGGACATTGTATGAAACCAATATACTCTATTCTCTTCTTGAAGGAGTATATTCAGAAGGTATGTCCAAATATTAAAGCTATAAGAATTAAAATATATATAAGTATATTAAAATTAGCACTCACTAAATGAAAACAAGTTTCAATTTCCAGCCAAACCATGAACAACTTGTACTACGATTAGCTACATGTCAAAGTCAAGTCCTGTCGAAGTCAAGTCCCTGCACATCTGCTACAGGGTATTGGGGATCGGAAAGGCGAAGAGACGTGCACTGATGTAGAATACCAAACAGACGCGGGGCACGCATAAACAAAGGTTCAAGTGTCAAGGGCAAAGCGGGAAAAAGAATTAAAGCAAAATATAAACACGGTTTCACTTTCAAAGCGATTAGCTATGGACGCGCTTTGAATATTGTGCGGAAAATGTAGCAATAACAACAACAACAACAACAACAACAGCAACAGCAACAGCAACGTTTGCCCATAGTAACAGAGTGAAATTGATAAGAATAACAGACGCAGGCAAAGGCAAAGGCAAAGCCAAAAACAAAGACACAGTCGCAGTCACAGTTGCAGTTGTTGTTGTTGTTGTTGTTGCTTGCCACTTGAAAACCTTGAAGTCATTTGACACCAACAGACGGCGGCTAAGGAACGCAAATATCGCTCGACCAGGCGACACACCGCACACCTACAACAGTGACACACACAAACACACACACACACACGGGCACACACATGCATGTGTAGCTGTGTGACCTACCGCAGTGCATGTCGGCCATAAATATTCAAATATTGAATGCCGATATTCATTTTACAGTGGCAGCCCGAAATCAACTTTCAAAGGGTCGCACGATCCAATGGCCAGAGCCCAGCTTAAGTGCCTGGCGTCTGTCCACTCCATTATCACCATCATCATCATCATCATCATCATCATCATCATCATCGTCGTCATCATATCGGAGTTGGCCTTGCAATCCTAGGCCAATAAATACATATATGTGCGTACCACAAGCTGACTTCATTGATAAGGCTTATCAAACATACATACATGATACATAAGCATATACCATATACTGTATTATGTATAGTACGTCTTATCTGTACTCTCACATTCACTTCAGTTCAGTTCGGTTCTTCGTTGCGTCACATTTGCCAATGCACGAGTGAATCACATTCCATGGACTTAACTACTCATCCGGTGATGCGTAGATGGGCGGGCAGGTGCTCATTACAGAGAAGTCTACTCATACTATATAATTTACCAGCAACACAAAGAGGAAGTCCATAAAACAAGCAAATTATTTTGCTTACAAATTGAGATTCGAGCTAAGTGCAGAACTTCAAATTTCATGACTTGTCTTAAGCGCTTTGAATCAGACTACATTTCCCTCACCTATATACATACATACATATAAGTATGTATTCATTATACCAAGCTTAAGGCCAAGTCTTCATTTTAAGTTAATTCGAATCTTTAATAAATAAATAAATATTTAATCTGTTTATTTATATCTAACCATAAAAACTGTTCTATTCATATCCGTATCTTTGTATTGCTCTATATATATGTTTATCTATTCAGCTTACACTTATGTATATCTATATATATATATTTATCTTTCTTTTTGCATTATTATATACATGTTTATCTATGCTGTTTTTTTTTCCCCCAAATATTTAGAATTATAGTTTTTAGCTTTTTTTTTGCCATAGGTAAACAATATATTTTAATTAGCTATAATATAATATATAATAACGTTTTGCCAAATCAAATAATCTACCCATAATTTATGAAAATAAAACATTTTTACTTTCCATATTATATAATAATATTACGGAATTTTTGATAATCTCAACTGCATTTGCCGTACATCATTGAAATTTAATTGAAATAAATTAGTAAACTCTTGAAACTAAGGAGAGTAAATAAAGTTTTCAACAAATGATTTCCTTATAACGAATATAGCTTTAATATACGCTCAGTTCTGTGATTGTTCTGATACTCTGCTAGAAATGAAAATTGCCTTAGATGTATGTATATACATATATATGTATATTGTATATATAATATA